GGATATCAACTGACATTTATTAAATCGTCATAGTACTATCGCTAGAGACGAAGCGTGTAGCGTACGTGTATTTTGTGTTTATTCGTATGTGTGCCTTTATGAAGACTTGCAAGCAGATATTCATTTTTATTAAAATTTCTTTGAAATTTTTTTTTTTCTTTTTCTTTTTCTTTTTCTTTTTCTTTTTTTCTACCATCAACAGTAGCGTAGCTATATACATGTGACGGGCGCTCGAGACGAAAATTGAACTTTATGTCCTTTGACGTATAAAACGCTACATAAGCGAAAAGCTATGAGTTAAGAAGAAGAAGAAGAAGAAGAAGAAGAAGAAGAAGAAGAAGAAGAAGAAGAAGAAGAGGAAAAAAAAAGAAGAGAATAAATAAGAAAAGTTATATTACTCGAGTATCTAGTATCTCGTACGTATTTATATACATACGTAAATTCGAGGTACTATCGATACGTTTCTAATAATGACGAGAGCATGAGAGTGAAGAAATGAAAACGTATAAAAAAAAAAAAAGAAAATAAAGAAAAAAAAAAAAACAAGAAAAGAACCAAAAATAAAATAAAAACGAAATAAAAATAAAAAGGAATAAAAATATGTCCACAAGAAAAAGAATGAACAAAAATAAATAAATAAATAAATACAAAGAAAAAAAGAAAAAGAAGGTAAAGATGGCTTACTCGTTTCTTATTACCAATTAAGGCGATTTCAAAATGTAAAAGTAATAATTCGTCTTAAGGTCCGCCATTATCTTCTAGCTACGATTCTGATTATCTCAACATCAAAAGAAAACATCAAAAGGCAGTGAGCGACAATGCCGTTCTTCTGTGAAACACAATCTCCGTGAGAAAATATAGACGGGTTACATTTAATATACACACTGCTAACGGAGGCAACAACAACATAACATTAAAAATAACAATAACAACAATAACAACAACGATAATAATAAAAATAATAATAACGATAAAAATAATTAATAATTATTAATAATAATAATAATAATATTAATAATAATAATAATAATAATAATAATAATAATAATAATAATAATAATAACAATAACAATAATAATAATAATGATGATGATGATGATGGTGATGATAATGATGATGAGGACGATGATGATAATTATTTACGTTTATTGTGAGATTTAACACGCGTGTGCGTTAACGATGCATCATGTACGTACGTGTAAGTGTAAGTGTGTCTTTGTAATATGTAATTAACAATTACATTCGTCTCGGTATTATTATTATTATTATGCTCTTTTCCTTTTCCTTTTTCTTTTTCTTTACTTTACTTTACTTTTTCCTTTTCTTTTTTTTCTGTCACTATCGACGAATTACGTTCGTTCGTGGCACGAATTTACGTGGCTTCTTTTATTGTACCTTCTCGGTTCTCGATTAGAAGAAAAAAAAAAAGAAAAAATAGAACTATGGTTTGAGTGATTATGATACACAGACACACCACAGATGATAATCTAGGTAAGGAAAGTTCAACGAGAGTCATGGGTGCAATGTTGAGAAGGAAACTTTTGGTCTCGGCAAAACTAAACAACTTTGTTATACGAAAATGTGCTGAAAGAGAGAGAGAGAGAGAGAGAGAGAGAGAGAGAGAGAAAAAGAAAGAGAGAGAGAGAGGAAGGGGAAAGAAAACAGGAAAAGATTCGAAAAATATGAATAAATAAAAAGAAAATGAATTAGAGGAATACATAGGATCGTAAATTTTATTAGACAGAGAAACGTATGTAAAATAGAAAGAAGTAAACTGATCGTGAAATTCGTGTTTGTCTCTGTCGAAATATCGACATAGTAATCGTGAAATTATTGGTTTCCTTTACGAATCACATTTCTTCGAGAATATCTGAATAATATCCTATATATTATATTTTCTTTTCGTTGTCTATTCGTGCATGTATGTGTATCTGTATGTGTCTGTGTATGTGTGTGTGTGTGTGTGTGTGTATGTATGTTTATCTGTTTGTTTATGCATGTGTGTATTGCGTGTAGACGAATAATGATAGAGAAAAAAGTGAAGAAGAAAAAAAAGTGCAAAGAAAAAGAGAAATAAAAGAAAGGAGGAAGAGAATGAAGAAGAGAAAAAAGAAAAAAAAAAAGAAAAAAGAAAAAAGAAAAAAAATGAAAACGTTCAAACGCCTTGATCGAGAAATGTGAAAGAGAGGGGATAAAAATGTGAATGTGTTGTGACTCATTGCCAATCGATGTGCATGAAAGAGCTGCTGGCTGTTTTGCGTCATTGTGGCAAACGATTAATTAAAAAAAAAAAGGGAACAGGATCGTGTAAGTACATACGTATGCCTTTTCTTAATAAATCATTAAGTTAAGTAAATATCGTGAGAAAAGTTTTCTTTTTTCCTTTTTGTTTTTTTTTTTTCTTTATTTTTTTTTGTTTCTTTTTGTTTTTTTTTTTTTTAATATTATCATCAAATTTGAGACAACTTTGAATGGGAGAACGTTAAACATTCATAAACTCTTTGGATCGTGACGTTAATGATTCCCTCCATTGAAAAGTTTTCATTGGAAAGTTACGAGAGACAAGGCCGCCACGTCGTGGTCGTTGTCTCTTTCAATTCAACTTTGGCAAAACTTATCTAGTTACATACTTACATATATCGACTAAGTTAGTACTCAACAGATTATACGGAGTTCGATCTATGTAACAAAGTAAGAAAACTTTGATCGCGCTCGAAACTTGATGGATTTGACGTTTATACGCCATAAGCGTATTGTCATCGAAATTTCCTAATTACTCTTCTATAATTACGATTAAAAGACATACGGGCATCCCTCTTATGGGATGATGGGTTACGAGACAACGAAGGAAGAAAAAAGTAAATGATGAAATAAAAGAAACAAAAAGAGAGAGAGAGAGAGAAAAAAAAAGGGGAAAAAATATAGAAAGGAACGGAAAAGGAACGGAAAAGGAAAGGAAAAGGAAAAAGACAAGGAAAAAAAAAAGGAAAAAAAAAAAGGAAAAAAGAGTGAAAAAGAAAATGAAAATAAGAAACGATCGGAAACAAAGGGAAAAGAAAGCCCAAGCGCAATTATTGCAGTACACGCGAGTCAAACATCGCGCTACCATTGAAAAAAAAAAAGAAAGAGAGAAAAAGATAGAGAGAGAGGGGGGGGGGGGGAGAGAAATAGAGAGAGAGAGAGAGAGAGAGAGAGAAAGAAACTTAACGAGAGAATGTAAAAAAGAGAGAAATGAAATTCTCGTTGATTTATACAAAAAGAATTATTATATTCTTTTAAATTTTGTCGAGCTCCCATTTATTTTCTCACTCGTATTCGTCAATTTTTTTTTCTGTCCCTTTCCTTTTTTTTATCCCCTCTCTCCCTAACAGCCCCCTCCCCCTTCCATACATTCAGATCTATCTATGACTCTATATATATATATATATTTTTTTTTCTCTATCTATCTCTCCCTCTTTTTCTCTCTTTTTGATACTGGTAAAGGATAATTAAGGTACATTTTTACGTCCAAAAATTCTGGACCGTTTCTGTGCGTCTGTGTATCAGAGCGAGCGGAGCGAGCGAGCGAATGAGCGAGCGCGCGAGCGCGCACGCGCTGCGCGCGCGTACGTGTGCGTGTATTAGTATACCTATTGCGCAAAACGGGAAAAAGAGCTTGACCCATGAATGAATGGTTGAAACGAGGGGATGAGACTCTGAAAGAAAAGAACATCAATTCATTTCCTTAGAGATCCCTTTTCGACGACTTAACGACTTTTCTCGCACGGGTGATCGATCTTTATTTAAAGTTTTATCGCGGCAGCTCTTTCGTTCCCTCCCCCCCACTCCCCTCCCCATTCTCAACCCATGGTACCTATATCCCAAACTTATATCCCAAAACAACTCTCCCCTTTCTAACTCGATTCCTGTATGTTACGAAATTTTACTTGGGGGGATTGATACATTGAAAGATAATAAATACTTATAAATATCGTCGATTGCTTGATAAATATTTTGTCTTATGGACAAATTAAAGAATTAATTATTGTAATATCTGACAAAAGAAAAATTATTGTCCCTTGAAACATATGTGCATATATATTATTATTATTATTATTATTATTATTATTATTAAAATTATAATATTAATTAAATTATAGTATGATATTAAAAGTGTTATGTGATTTAAAAAAATTATATGCAGACAATGTTCGTTGTTGACGTTGTTAGACTTGTTTTTTCCCCCCTTTATTCTTTGATTAATTAATTATTATCGATCGAGTCGATAAATAAATGTTAATAAAATTAAAAAAGTTGATTATATTTTCTTGTAATATATATATATATATATATATATATATATATATATATATATATATATTACAAGATCTTTTTTTTTTGTTAGGAACTATTTCGCATTTAATTTAAAAATTGATTAACGTATATAACGAGTAGTAATATCTATACGAGTATTAAAAAATCTATATCTACAAATTGGTTCATATTTATCAAGATATCGACGATACGTTGTATCATGTGTATATAGCACGCTTTTGCGAGTTTCTCTCTCTCTCTCTCTCTCTCTCTCTCTCTCTCAGTGATTTAATTTGATTTAGTTTTAGAGAAGGAAAGAGTACTGGCATGTCGATATTCGCATAAAAAAGTAATAATAACTATGGTGATTTATTGCCGGACAAATTAATTCAAATGAATAACGGAGTGAAAATCATCTATCATTTTAATCTGTTCATTTCAAAGAAGAAAGTTCACGAGAAAGTGTCCGATGACTTTTTTTGGTCGCTCTATGTACCATAAGACACGAACTCTTTTCTATCGTAATACGAACTAACGTGGTAACAATTATCGTTACGTCAGACAAAATTCTTCTTTCTTTGATAAAGATCGAGTGTTCGATGTATCGAAACTTAAGCAATACTTTTCTGTTTTTCTTTTTCTTTTCCTTTTTTTTTTTTTGTTCTCTTTTCTTTTTTAATCATTCGTTAAATTCGAATCCTTTAATT